AGAAAGAAAGAAAGAAAGAAAGAAAGAAAGAAAGAAAGAAAGAAAGAAAGAAAGAAAGAAAGAAAGAAAGAAAAATTTGTGCTGCTGAATGATTGCATCCAAATGGGGGTAATTCAGGGGAAAATTTATGCTGGTAAATGACAGGAAAGGATAGTTAGGAATAAGACTAGAGAGTTCCAAAAAAATGATGACATCTGGAGACTCAAGAAGGAACGAGAATGACTGAAACATTGAGATAATTTGGTCATAAAGAGAGAATAACTAAGGATCAAATTGCAAAACAGATGTAGAGAGAGTAAAAATCAGTTGGTTTAGATGAAGTAGATTGGGGCTGTCAAACTGGCCACGCCCATGCCCTGTTTAGCAAGGGGGGGGGGAAATCCCAATATGTCACGTGACACCACTGTGATGACACTCCTGAAGTAGATAAAATTCTCAAAAACAAATGAAAAGTTTAAAGAACAACAGACACTATATGAAGTAGTATGTCATTACAATTTTGAGATATTTAATATGGTTTTATACAACAAATACTGTACAATTTCTGCAATTTTTAAAGACACAATTACCCAGGAGCTTTCACTGAGAACAATCTTGCTTTCAGACAAGATTATATAAGATTAAAAATTGAGAGTTTTTAAAGTTTTCCAGCTTTTAAAATCTAAAGGAAATTCCCACTCCCTGAAAGGCTTCCTCCCTCTGTCTTGCCCAATTTTCCCTGGCCCTTCTTTTATCCCACCCACCTTTCAGCTTCTCCTTCTATGGCTGGGTTCTCATAGCATACCAATCCACAACTTCTTAAACCATTGGTTTCTGACTAAGCCACAGTTAGCGGGGTTTACCTTCCATGTTAAACCACAACCCGGCATTTACAAACTCAGTATACAGGATCACCATCATTGTCAAAAACAATAACATTGATGATGAGTAAGTGAGATATACTGAATCATAAATCACTGTCAACAAAATTGATTAGTTCAAATTTGTTAAGCTCCCTGCTCTTAATGTTTCAATCATTGGACAGGGTATTGGCAAAGAATCTATTTCAGGTTATTGAACTTAATGAAGCCAAGAATTCCCATAAATTTTAAGCCTCTGATTTATTTTTACCCATTGTGTCAATATTGCTGCAATCCATCTTTTCTTCTAATTTGTTCTTCACCGTCATAAGCTTGGCACAGAAAGCCTTTAAAAGGGGGAAAATAATGATTAATCAGCATAATATGATTATTAGTTTGGATTTTTTTTTTTGCTCCTAGAACACCATGGACATTACAGCAAATGCAAGTAGAATAATAATCAGTTTTAAATAGGATATTTTTCCCCAATATTGAGTATTGAATAAATTGGAAATTCAGTTGCTGAAGTCCTATTTGCAGACATAAACATAAAGAATAAGAAGGTATAACTGATGTTAACAGTTTAGCTGACATTTAGAAAAGAAGACTGATTTAAAGTCCCAGAAGGTTATGAGATATGTCATTTGTGCTGACTAGTAAATTAAATAGTTATTCACAGCAGACTTTTAACACTGTTCCCTTGAGATTTTTAGATAACCCAACAAGTAGGGAAAGTAGAACAGTGCTGGATAACCTTTTTCAGCTCGTGTACCGCGCGCTTGCATGCCACCACCTAGAAGGCAATGCGTGCGCAATACCCCCATGCACCATGCATCTCTCCGCATGCATGTACGACACCCCCCCATGTGCGGCATGCATCTCCCCTGCACTCCTGCACCCCCATACATGTGTGCCAGATACCCGACAATCAGCTGTGAGGCGGGCGGCGCGTGTGCATGCGCAGTGGGACTCTTCCAGGCAACTTTGTGTGCCAGCAGAAATGGCTCTGCGTGCCATTTCTGGCACATGCACCATAGGTTCGCCATCACGGATCTAGAACTCATGCCAAAATCAAAGGATTATCGTAGACTGTGTGGTCACTAGATACTTCTTTTGAAATTGCATTTCTTTAGTAATGTGCAAAATGTTGTTCAAGAACCTATTTTTATTTGGCAGGTGCCTCCTTTATTATTAAGACTTTTCTCCATGTTTGGTCTATTAACTTCTTGATTGTTTTTATATAATCAAAGAATGAAAAGGATCTCTAAAATGATCTAATCCAGTTTCTGGCCAATACAAGAAATCCTCTACTATAAATCCCTAAATTCTTAACCATCTTTTTAGTGAATGCTGCTAGATCCTCACTTTCTAAGGCAAGGTGTTTTGCAGTCAACAAGCTGTCAAAAGAATAATGTGGGGTTCCAAGCTCAAACTGGGACTGCGCAGGAATAAATAAAAATGAGATCCAGACAGCTGTAAGGAAATAAGAAATATTAATTCCTAAAAGCAAAACAGTATGCATTTAGGGGAAGCTGCGGAGAAATAGCATACAGCAGCAGATTTTCATAGGGGGAGCTTGTCCGTGCTGTGGAGGTGTCTGCATGCTGATTCTAGAGTGACACTTGAGGAACGTTTGTCTGTGTAGGTATGAATTCTTGTGAACATGCAGTTCCGCAGGGAGACCTAATTTAATTATCTCTATTTGTGTTTGCAGACCTTAACCTTTGATACATGGATTAGGTCTGGGTAACTTATTTGGAGGTTTGGAGAAGTTTGGGGAAAGTATTTTTCCCTGTTTGCTATTTTTACTTGATTAATTTAGTTTCAGCGTGACTGTCAACTATCTAGTGGTGACGTTGATTCTCAGACAATTGTGGATTCTGTTAAAGTTTTAAGGAAAGTTGGAAACAGTATAAAGAATAAAATAAATGTGGATATAAAAGTTCTCACAAAGTCTATACTTTTTTAGACCTTTCTTCTTGAGCTATAAATTTACAACCTAACACTGAAGAGAAAGAAAACATCCTCCGTTCAAAAATCAGAAAATGGTTATTATACCATAACCTAATTATCCTTTCTTCAAGCTTCAAGGTTTTCTCATAGATTTGGCCTTCGAGACACTCACCTTCTTTCTTAACCCACCTTAATATATTTAAACTTTTCCTAATCTGGCTGAGAATGGTGTATATGGCTAAAGAGTAGAGACAGAATAAACTAATCCGTTGGGTTACTAGACAAATGTTCAAGCATTAATTTCAAGGCTTCCAGCCAAACACTGGGCAGCCCTTTGTCAGGGATTATATAAGGATTCCTATCCTGGACAGGGAGTCGGACATCCAAGGTATTTTCCAAGCTTCTGATTCTATGATATTCATAGGATTTAAGTGTCTTTTAAAAAAAACTCCTACAAAGGACAAAATATTAGCAAATATCAATATTTTCAAAGGCTATGCAAATAGCAATAGCGCTTAGACGTATATACCACTTCACAGTGCTTTGCAGCCCTCTCTAAGTGGTTTACAGAGTCAGCCTGTTGCCCCCAACAATCTGGATCCTCATTTTACTGACCTCAGAAGGATGGACGGCTGAGTCAAACTGATGGTGAGAATCGAACTGCTGAAATGCTGGCAGCAAGCAGCTGGCAGAAGTAGCCTGCAGTACTGCATTCTAACCAATGTGCCACCATGGCTCATTCAATAATCATCAAATAACGCCAATAACTACATTTTCTAGAGCATCGAAAAACAATTCTCCATGTCATAATAGTTTCACTCATAATAATGCAAGGGGAGTAACTTAAATCTCATGGGAAATACTGGCTGTATAATACTCTATGCTTTCCTTAGACCCCTGTAATCTACGTGCAAGGAATATTCAATGGCTTACTTCATAAACATCACTGTTGTCCAGAGATATCACAATGTAGACATCCAGCTTCTTCCCAGTTTGTTCCACTGCAAAGTGCATTATTTCTTCCACCATAATTTCGGCAACCTCATTACTTGGTAAATGTAAATCTTTAATTCCAAGTGGAGGAAAAGCAATGGATGACAACTGCTGTTCCAGAGTCTTGGAAAGCCCTTTAGAAATGGCTGTTTTTAATATCTGCTCGAAAGAAATTCAATAATATATAAGCTGATTTTCTCCCAAATTCATACGAGTGAAACATTGTAAAGTGAATAGGAAATAACATCACCTCTTGCCTGTTGCCTTCAATGTAAGATGGCCAAATCACATGGAGCACATGTTCACAATCAAGACTGAATCCTTTTGTGTATATGAAATTGGGTCTGTCTGATGGAAGCTTCTGTAACTCAGAGAGAAATTGTTCCTGCATAGCTGGACCAGCCCTTTCCAAAATTGCTCTTGAAACTGCTCCTTGAAAAAGATCACCTTGCACAGTCACAGAATTAATAATTATAGCAGCCTGAAAGAGAGCAATGTAAACGGTGGAACTTTTCATGCTATATTCATGCCAGGTTTCTACAGATAAGAAACTCTATCAGCAGCAAGAAATCTTAATAATCTCTCCCATCTTCATAAGGACAGGATGTATATCTACAAGAAAGATTCTGTAAGGTTCAGGGATTTCTAGCAATAATTTGAGGCATGTACAGAGGGAATATTAGGATATATTCAAACAGAATATCCTGTTGAATAAGTAGCAACAAATTTAATGTTGGATGTGGCCCATGTATCTTTCACATCATATAATTTTCAGTAGAGCTACAACATGTCTAGTGGTTTTCTGCATTGGAATTAAAAAAAAAAATTCTCGGCATGGCAATACATCTACAAGAAACATAATCCACAAGACTTACTTGCTGTGTTTCTATATCCCCTTTTTTTATCTGCAGGGAGAGTTCATTGACTCTGATAGAATCAGTGATATCCAACTGAGGCACAATATCATTAATCCCGATCAGATCTTCGCAAGCCCTTTTCATGACATCAGCTGTGGTTTCATCAATGTTTACAAGGTGGATTTCTTGCAAGTAGCCAAATAATGGAGCAAGTTGAACAAAGTTCCTGATAGTCTGTACAATCACTTGAGCACACCAATCCTGAGGAAAATTGAAGATCCCTGAACTCAGTGCAGGAATGGCCACAGACTTGATATTGTTTTCTGGAGCATTCACGTATTTCAGAACATTTATTATGGCAGCTTCCAACTTGAGGCAACATTCCTCCTTCTGATCTTCTGACCACCTTGGACCTACCGCATGGATAATCTGCTTACAGGGCAGTCTTCCTCCGCTGGTGACCACAATCTGGCCAGGACTGAGTGGACCATTCTTTTCAACAAAAAGTTTGCACTGCTCTTCAATTTCTGGCCCACCGGCTTTCAGGAGAGCAAATGCCAGACCTCCAAAATGGTGCAGGTATTCATTGGCTGCATTCACCAAAGCATCGGCCTCATGTCTTGTGAGATCATCTACCCAAACAGAAACCTCCACTCCTTCCTTCAGGCTTTTCCTATACACTTCCATGGGATTCCTTATGCTCTTAAGGACACAGATACAGCCAAACTTCTTCTGAAGCAGGCTGCACAAGTAATTCTCTCTCCTTTTAAGAACTGCATAAATGCTGTTACTGATGGGAATCGATAGCATTTCCTCATCCATTGGAATTCTAATTTCTTGGGACATAAATGAGAATTAACACTTGGCAGGTTGCACAAATATGTTCATTTTTGAAGATTTTACTCTTTCCTGATCCCAGGAAAAAAAACTTAGTCACCAATATATCATTTCTACAGAATGCCATCTTTCCCTAACATAAATGATCTTGTGACATAAATGATCTTGTGACATTAAGCATTCCCATTTGTCAGGCTATTGATACGAAGGAAGTCAGCTGAATGCCAGAAAGGAATTTGCGCCTGGAATGAGGATGTTCGTAATGCCAAGAGCAGATGGATATTCTGTTCATATCTCATAAACAGGGAGCTGCTTGTCCCTCAAATCAATAGAGAGTTTAAAAAAAGGATCAAAAGTATCAAGGAGAATTAACCTTGATGTACTTGCTGATAAAATGGGGGCCCAAGTACAGATATCTTAGGTTGCAAAGATTCTATAACCTATCCCCTTTTTCTTCGCAACCTACTGAGACTTTGTGAGATGCTAGCTTTCTTGATTACTCTTTAGAGTTTGAGACATCCTAATAAAATGGTACAAAACTGTTTAACAGCTATATTAGCATTACATCACATCTGAATTAGAGATCTAGAAGAAAAGCAATTTTGGATACATTCAGGGCTCTGCTTATATTTGGCAGTACACGCATGATGTTGTACATATAAACTTGATGATGCAGGATGGAAAATTTTAGTATGAGGATCTTGAGTATAGAGAAATTATAAGGAACCTCAGTGAAAATTGTATGACTAAAAGACAAAAGACTACTGTATTTACCGTTTTTAGTAGTCTCAGAACTGGAAGCCTGTGAAAATAATAGCAGAGCAATCAGAATAGTCTTTCCTAATGTCTAAACTACAGCCATTGACATTAATATTTATAAATGTAATCCTTATTTGCAAATAATTTCTCTTCTGAAACAATACCCTAAAGGAGACAAAGATTTTAATCCATTATGCTATACAAACCATATGCTAAATTAACATATTTATTGATGCTAAATTAACATATTTATTGATAAGTAACCCTGACTGAATTAATGAGATTTATTTCCAGAATGTACACAGGGTGATTCTTTCTTTCTTTCTTTCTTTCTTTCTTTCTTTCTTTCTTTCTTTCTTTCTTTCTTTCTTTCTTTCTTTCTT